GAGATCGATTTTGGGAAGAGAACTCTTCTGGTGACGCAGAAGATGAGTTTGGAGGTGGGAAGAGGTTGAACGCAGGAAAACCAGCTGGGTAGCAATTGTCATACCTTCCCCCCGCCCCCCACCCACCCAAAAAAGTTGCTGAGGACCTGAGCGAGGAGTGGCAGTGAGGAAGAAAAGCCAGGTCCCAGCTGACCGAGGTTCAGATTGTGAAGTGACTCAGCAAACCTCTGAGGCTCTGATCTTGGGCGGCCTTATGCGTGCTGTTGTTAACTGAGAGAGATCAGGAGAAAGGGGTTTTGCACTTGTTCAGTGAGAGGTGAAGATACTCATTAGACAACTGGAAATATGGGACTGGAGAGCAGAGGAAATATGGAGGCTGGAGCTGTGGATCTGAGTGTTACCTGTGTGTTTAGATGCCATCGGCATGGATGAGACGTCCTGTAGAGAGCAAACTCATAGAGACGAGAGATCCCTTTGGAACATGACCACTAAAGGGACAGGAAAAGAAATTAGTCTGTGAAGGAGGAGAAAGATGAGTGGTCATGGGAACAAGGGAAGAGGGAGGACCGGGATGTGGAATCATGGGAGCCAAGGACAGTTTCTTCTCAAAGATCAGGGTGGGGTCAATGCTAGAGGCTGCTACAATTAGGATCCCTCAAATAGGATTTGTGACTCTAAATGCAGATTTCCCATCCTAATTAGAACCACTGCTTTTGTAGCACAAGCCTCTGACTTTATTCAATACCGTCCTAATTCTGGAGCTGGAGACAAGAGGCCCGTGTTCTTAGCTCTATGACCTTCTAGCCAGCTGACTTGGCAAATCATTAACTTCTTGGGCCTCATTTTTCTCATTTGTAAAGTGAACGAGTTGAACTGTAATTGTTTGAAGTGCCTCTGGCTTTCAAGTTCTATGACCCAACTGTTTGGGTGCTTTGCCAAGCTCTAGCTGCATTTCTAACTGCCAGCCTCTGGAGGCTAACCATCCAGCTGGATATAGGATTACATAGCTCTCTTATCTTTCCTTGATGTGTTTCTGTGTTGACCTTTCCTGCCCTGGAGATAAATATCCCAGGGAGGGTGGGAGAAGGAGTAGGTCTTGAATAGACAAACTGCCTCTCCTGGGTTTTTGTAAGATATTCAGATAATCACCTTCTGACTTTGTGGCCTTAAGGAATCACTTCTCTGCCCTGAAGGAAAGGGTCCCTCCACCTTGTCCTAGCCAGAGAAATTAACTCTTGATCTGCCTGTGCACTTTTGAATGAGAGGGTTTGTGTTCTGGCTGAAGTTAACTTTGCTGTTATCTCCTTACTAAACTCTTGCCTCAACGCACCAAGTATTTTCAAAAGCCAAGCTCTTTACCCGTGTTATTCCGTACTTTCTGATGGATTGTACTCTTCTGGAATCTAATGAGATGTATCCATAATTTGTCCGGTAATGATAATAATAATATAATATCAATAATGTTATAATTATATAATATTAATAATATTGTGATAATATTAATATAATGATATATCATTATAATTAATATAATTAATTATATAATAATTCGAATAGTGTTATATATTATATTAATATAATTGGTTATATTAATATGATATATAATAATATTAGGAATTATATTAGTAATATATCATTATTATTATTTTGTCTCAGAATGTCCCTTGAATGCAACCAGTAGTTTCATTATTGCTATTTATAGGCAAATACTCAACAAGAGGTTGCGGTGACCAGAGCTCATTATTAATTCAGAGAGGTACTGCTTCAAGATGCAGCTCTCCTGAAGCGTAATTGTGAGCAAGAGAAATATCAGATGTGTATAAATATACACATAATAACAACATTAGAATGGAACCGACCTTTGATTGAGAACTGTGGAGGTGATCTGCTAGGAAGCGTAAGATCAAAGCGCCATCAGCACATTAAATAAAGAGTCATATCTTCCCAAGTCTCCCGCGATGTTAAAGTACTTGACTTGAATTAACTCACTGAATGCTCACTGCAAACCCATGGCATAGGTATGTTATCCTCATTCTCATTTTACAGATGAGGAAGTTAAGGTGCCAATGGGAAAAGTAACCTGCCCAAGTCACACAGCCAGGACCCCAAACCCCAGGAACTGATTTATTCCATAGACATGACAAAAAGAATTGTCACCTTCAGAGCTTTACTGTAAAATGGAATGGAGCCCAGTTAGGAAGACATTGTGTAGTAGAGCTAAGGTGGCTTAGAGTTCTGGAAAGAGAACTGAGCCAAGAGACCACAGTTCTCTTCCCATCTGTGACTCCACCGGTGTGGCCTTGGGCAGATGATAAACCGCCCCTCACCCCAGATCTGTTTCCTCATCTGTAAAACAGGGAGGTCAGGTCCAGGTGTTCTCTGAAGGTGTCAGGAGCCGTAACCTCCTGTGTGGGAGAGTGGCTGGCTGTAGACATTGGCTCCCTGTAGCTGGCACACATATTAAATAACTTATTCCCATTCACCCGAGGCTGAGAATAACTCTCAGCATGTGAGGTGTCAAGCTGGCACCGGCTGCTTCCACTAGCAGCCACGCCAAGCTCTCTGAATCCCAATCTCTGGGAGTGGGGAGGGAGGACAGCTAGTCCGAAATCACCTTGTGATCATCTTGTGCATCCACAAGAGGCTCTCCAGGTTTTCCTGGAGAAGTGTGCTGCTTAGCTGGTGGTGGGAAGGTCACTGCAACAGGAGACGAAGAACATCCAGGACAGCCTTCGTACAGGGATTTCTATCTGCCTTGAGACAGGCGTGGTCTGGGGCTCTAATTCACTGCTTGATGGAGCTCCGTGGACGTGACCCAACTCCGAATGCCTGGAGTTCATGCACGCTGATGAGGCCTGTGGTCCTTCACCTTCTACTGTTTTCTGTTTCTTTTCTTTCCCTTCTTGGTAGCCAATGTAATAGCACAGCTCTCCACCCTCGGCTCCCATAGGACTGGTCCCGCCCCTATCACTTCTGATTTCACCACAGGGCCTCCTTGCCAGCCATTCCCAGTTGTTGAATGGGCCCCAGAGAAAGGGGTGGAGACCAGAGCCATCAGCTCACCCCCTGCTCTATCATCACAGTACAACTTGGGTGGAGTAATTTCCTTCTGATCATTTAGGTACAAAGGACCAGCATCTGTCTTCTTCAACTCGATGGCTTTTCTTTCAATAACGGGACACCCAAACCCAAACGATGGAAGAAGAGAACAAGAGATTTTAGGATTAGGACACATCCTTAAATGGTTCCTCAAACTAGGATACAGTGCTGTATGGTTTTATCTTTCAGTATGTGGACTTTTAATTGTTAGAAGGAACACAAAGCTTCCTAGAATATAGACACTAAGTAAAACGTTCACCGGAACCCAAAGCCCTCAATATCCCTTTAGCTTCCCTTACTGCTCACCTGTCCACATCATAGACTTCCTGGATCAGAAAACTGTCAAGAACAAGGACTTCAACCTTATTCTTAAAGAGCATCACCAGGCTTCCTGGGCACTGAGCTCTAGGGCTTTATCTCCTTTCCTCACTGACTAAGAGAACTGTGGTTAACAGTAAAAGTAGGAGCCCCCAGCTGCTGACTGGGGGCAGACCCTCCCACAGCACAGCGCCTCCACAGCAGAGAACTAGCCCACGGTGCAAGACCCGCGGTTACGGGGCGGAGTACAGGGGGAGATGATTAACGGATGTCAGTGGTAAAGGAATGAAAAGCATGAAGCTGAAAGATCGAATCCACATTTTTAGAGAAAACAGGGGGCAGAAGTCCAAACAACAACAGCCCCAAGTGCCACGAATGTGTAGTCACAATACACTCCGGCCAATCAGCGGTCTTTTCCCCACAAGTGATCATCATCACAGTGACACCTAGTGCGTCCCAACTTTCTAGCGAAGCACTAGGGAGATCACTTTGAGTTTTCTGACGGCTTGCTATGAATTTACAACGTTCCCCGACTCCTCTGTGTGCTGGGAAGGAGCAGGCATGGGGTGATGGCTGCCATCGTGCTGCGAAATGTGACTGATGCCAAGAAATGAAATCTTTGGAGCCTTTGAAAGGCTTCCAAGAATGTCAGCATGTACTGCCTGCCCGCTCTCTGCTGAATGCCTACTTTGGCTGTCTGCTTAGTACTGAAAGTGCCAGACAGGCCTTCACACAAAGAAAGAAAGTGTTTGGGGCCCATGAAAGGGGAAAGCAGAGCCTTCCCGATGTGAATGGTGAGATTCAAGAAGGAGGAAATAAAGTGGCAGGGTGAGGAGGGGCCCTCAGGAAAGATAGGAATAAAAGACCAAAGAGGAAGAGATGGTATCTATCTACCTACGCAGGATAACTTCTTTGTAGCTCCCCGTGGTCAAATCTGGAGATGCAGACTTACCATCACACTACACTCCATGCTTGCTTAGCATGGAAAGATCGCTTGCTTGTAGATTCTCCACGTATCCAAGGACCTCTTGATCAACTGAGAATAAGAATTTTTAAGCCCTGCCAAGTCAGAGATCAGTGTACCTCTGTTTCCATTTTAACACTGAATATCAGTGCCATTTGTGCTGCTTGTTATTGGGGATTTTCTTTGACTCATTTTGCCTCCAATATATTAACAAAATAAGAGATGTCTGTTGTAGTACATCTGAATATTTTGGAATATTTTATTCCTTAGACTGGGTTTAAGAAGGGAAGAGAAATGTTTTGTAGAATGAACCGTTCTCTAACCCTTAGCCATGCTACTCATAACTCCCTGGGCACAGCATGTACTGCTGGAAGAAAGCACTCTGTGGCGTTCTGAGCTTTTCCAAGGAGGCTGTCTGATGTCATTGGTGGCAGACACAGTATGTATGGATCTGTCTTCTGTCTGCGCCATCTGCTTTTCTCCTTACAGGCTATTGTTCAGATTCTTCTCTTCTCTCCAGGAAGTGTGCCTCTCCATCAGAGCACGGGCTTTAGGTGTTAAAGGGACTGAGCTACTATTCTAATGTGGATTCCCTCTGTTCTTTCCTTCCTAGAATCTTATGGCAAGGGCCTTATACGACAACGTCCCAGAGTGTGCTGAGGAGCTGGCCTTTCGCAAGGGAGACATCCTGACTGTCATAGAGCAGAACACAGGAGGACTGGAAGGATGGTGGCTCTGCTCCTTACACGGTCGGCAAGGCATTGTCCCGGGCAACCGGGTGAAGCTTCTGATTGGCCCCGTGCAGGAGACCTCCTCCAGTCAGGACCCGCCTACTTCTGGACTGATGCACCAGCCCTTTGGCCAACAGAAGCTCTATCAAATGCCAAACCTCCAGGGTGCCCCTCGAGACACCATCTACCAAGTGCCACCTTCCTACCAAAATCAGGGAATTTACCAAGTACCCACTGGCCATGGTACCCAGGAACAAGATGTGTATCAAGTCCCACCATCAGTGCAGAGAGGCATTGCAGGGGCTAATGGTCCCCACTTAAGTAAAAAGGTGAGTGAACAACAGACTGGATTTTTGTTCTTAATTTTTTCCACTGTACTCAAAGCGTGTGTGTGTGTGTGTGTGTGTGTGTTTGCGCTCCTAAAATAAGAACTTGAAGCTTCCAAGAAGTACATCAAAGTAGTAAGTATATCTTCCAAGAAGTAAGAATATCGAAATACCCTAGCTTGGGTATTATTTTTCCATTCATTGGTCAGCAAAACCTTCTTGAACGCCCACCCTGTGCCAGGTACTGTTGATCCATCGCCATTATGAGTTCCCGAGCCATGCCAGGTCATAGTGCATCATCAAGTGTTTCTCTCCAAATTTCTGATAGACCTGCTTCTAGACCTGGACACTGCACTCAGTTCCCAGTCTTTTCTCTTTCTCCCTTGAGTGGTACAAGGCACCACATTTTGCACAAGCGCAAGCACCACATTTTGCCAACCAACTTGTTCTGGAGAGTCGTCAGCTTCAAGGTTGGCTCATTTAAAACACATAGACTAGTGAATTTAGAAAAGAGCCATCCTCTTGTCCTTCGAGTCATTCCTATAATAATACCTGAGGTGGTGGGTGAAGATAGTGGGGCTAGGGTATTTAGGAAGGCATCATTTTAAAAAAAAAAAAAAAAAAAAGGAAGGCCCTCTTCAGCACTCTGTATAATTCCAAATGCCCTAACAATTTGAGATAAGTAGAAAACCGATTTAATTTCAAGCATCTAGTATACTTTCAATGCTTGTGATACAGTGATGAATTCAAGAGTGAATCTAGCCTCCATGATACTTACGCTGTAGTAAGGAGACATAAGCAGACACTGAATGTCAGGTGGGGAATTGTGCTGTGAAGAAAATAATACCAGTGAACTTGTGGAGGGTAGTAGCCAACACAAAGGTGATGCTCCTGGGAGCGTTGCAGGGGAAGGCTTTTCTCTTCAGTTTGCTGGCAAATTCCAAGGGCCTACAGTGGGTCCAGTGAGGTTTGGTATTAAGAAGGGACTAATTTAACAGAATAAGAAAAGATCCCTGAATCACAAGAGGAAAGATGCAGTTGGACGCCAGAAAGAGCTGTTGATGCTTAGAACATGACGTATACATGTGCCCTGCCTTGCGAAAACCTAATACAGTGTTTGAATTTACAGTCCCAAGTAGATTATGGAATATCTATTTGCATGATAATGGAATCCTCTGTTGGAAAAAATAAAGGAGGGGGTGGTGATTTACTGTTGGATTCCTTAAATAACAAAGCCAGGAATGTATTTTCAAATCACCTTTTATACAAAACGTGTGTTTTACAAAACACTGCTCAAGAGCACAGGTGTTACATAAGCTGAGTGTATAAACATTAGGAGGAATTCCTCAAGAAGTTAACAGTTTTCCAACTTGTATTGCCTGGGACAATGATCCCTGTCTGGGGGTCACAGACTGCGCCCGTGACCTTTCAAAGTCCTTCTTACCCCAGGGATTTTAGATTCAAAGGGAGAGTCAAACCAGGCCTCTATTTCCAGAGGGAGAAAGAACAGTTGAAAGGTGTGGCTATAAATAAATAACTTCTCTCATTTGTAGCCCTGCTTGTGTGCATCTTAAAAATAGCCCTCCCTCATCGGAGCTGGTGTGAGGCTGACAGGGGAGGCCGGCACGGGAAATGCTTGGCTGAAAGGTGGTGGGGTCTGAGCTTTCATCGCCGTTTATTCTGGCAGGAAGGTGACATGTTTTTCTCTTTAGACTCTACCTTTTTAGTTCCAAGTCTGAAAAGTCTAAAACTTCAGACTTCTTCCCACGTCATTTGCTATAGCTGTATTTCAGGTGTGTTCCTGGACCCTTGATCCATTTAGAGGGGAGAGAGTTTGACACACCTTCCCTTGGATGGAGGTTGGAGTGCCGGGGTTACCATTGGGCACTTGAACTCAGTGTTTTTGTTTTTGTTTTTAATTCTAAAATCAGTGGAAGGTTTTATGTTTAGCAAGAGGTAGGTGGTTCCTGTAGGGGGAAGCCAGCTTCCGGAAGGGCACTCTGCCAGCCCTTCCAGGGGATGCCACAGACCTGGGGGAGGCTTGACCAGAGCTCAGGGGTAGGCAGTGCCCCAAGTGCTGCGCTTCAAGCATTCGGGGTCTGAGGTGGTAACGTGGTGAGGCAGGAGGGGACGGTCCTGGCTCTTCCCTGACAAACACCGTGTTCTCTAGGACACCTGACCTCACCCTGAGTCACCTTAGTGCCCCTGGTCCTCAGGCTGCCGCCTCCATCCTGTCCACTGGACCACTGGCTCACGCCCCATGGGAGTGGGTGTGCCCTCTCCTTTCCTTTCCTCTCCCTCTCTTCCTTCTTTCCTTCTTTTCTCTCTCTCTCCCACCCCCTTTTTTTGCTTTCTTTCCCCCTTTCTTTCTTCCCTCCTTCCTTCCTTCCTTCCTTTGTAGTGGAGATGGCTTGGCTGCTAACAGGTGATTTTAACCTTCTGAGTAAAAGCAGCTGCTTTAAAAACTTCCATCAACATCTCCCTCGGTGACGTTTCTGACTCAAGACCTTCTCAATGGGTGAGAATCATACTAATGACTTAAGCCAAGGCTCCAAGAGTTAATCTCAGTACGGGGGGATCCAGCAGGGTTTGTTTTGAGTTCTCATTGTAGTAGTTTTGCTGACTTACTAAATAGCCCCATACCCGTTTTTCTCTTTTAATTTCCCATCTGTAAAATCATGGTGAACCCAGAACTGGACATTCCTGGTAGCTTACGTCATAGTCCTTAAAAGCTATTAAAGGAGAGAAAGAGGAGGCAGTAGAATCTTGTTCTGAATCACTAAAGTGTGGTTCTAAAATCTTAGGGAACATAAGCATCAACCAGAGAGCTAGAGAAGGTGAGTTGAGATGCAGATTCCCAGGCCCCCCAGACTCTAGCCCCAGGGCCGAGGAATATGCATTTTAGTACGCTCCTGGGATAGTTCTGGGGGAGGTGGTCCAGGACTGCACTTTGAGAAGCATTGTTACAGGGCCATGAAGGGGGTTGGATATGTTCCAACCTGTGATTCGGGACTTTCCACAGTTAAAGATTCCCTTGATGTTGCTACAGACTGTGGGCTTCAGAAATTTTATCCACCACAGTTTTTTCTACTAATGAATCACATAGGAAAAAAAAAAAGACAGTGAATTCTGCCTTGTATCACTCCAACTTTGCTGTCTGGGAAACTCCAGCCCCCACCCACCTTCTTGCATCCCATCCACGTAAAATGAGATTCATCACTTACTAAGTCAGTGGTTAGAGAGAGAAAGAAAATCATATAATCTCCACCCTTTCCTGAAACAAGAAGACAGCATGAGGATTGTGAAAAGAGCCTGGGCTCTGGGGTGAGGGCGACTCCTGGTTCTGTTTCTTTGGTAACTGTTAATCCCTTGGCAAGTTACTGAACTTCTTTAGACTTCAGTTTCCTCATCTGTCGAATGGGAATAATCATAACTATCTCCTAGGGTTGCTATGAGAATTCAGTGAGACACTGTATAGAAAGGACCTGGCACAGAGTTTCGCAAAGCAGGGGCTTAAAAAATTAGTGCCCCTTGCTTTGATTTTCTTTCCTTTCTCAGAGTTTATTTTGAACTGATCAGCCCCATTTGTGTTTCATACTCTGCACTGAATATGCAACTACTTTATTGCTAACATATATGCTGTTCTCTTTAAGTGTGTGGCTCTCCAGAAATTTTGTACAGGGTGGAAAGAACTCTCAAAGTTATCTGGAAACCATATACACTGACACCTTGACTTAATTTCATTGGTCTTTTTCACTCTGGGTCTTGTGTGCAGGGCCGTTTTATCCATTAGGCATTGTGGGCAGAATGCCGGAAGTCTACGAGAACGTTGGAGCACTGAATAAAAAGTCTTGGCTCCGAAATATGAAACACAAAAACTGCAAAATAGAAATTAATAAATGTTTAGACAAAAGTGCAGGAAACAACACAACGTCAACCTCATTAATTGTTACATTTTGATGTCATAACTGTTTCATTACATGTGAAAACAATTTGTAGGTTAGATTTTTCTCTCTTTGCAAAGACTTCTAAATATGCCTGTGATTGCCAAGAACTCACAGGCATTTCTAAATTAAATGAGTTACTCATAGTCCAATAATTTGAAAAGCTGAATTATATTTTTAAGAAGTGTCTTCAATTTTTTAAAGGCAAAATTGTAGTTAATATGGGACTGTGGTTTGGAGGGGACGATTTAGACCCAAACTTCAAAAGCATAAGGTCTACAAAGGTCTAAAAGAGCTTAATTTCTCTCCTTCAAAGATCAAAACCTGCCACCTGACTTCATCCATTTTGTGCCTGACCTTCACAGGGAATTATGTGTGTTTCTCTGATTATCCTTTGGACATGTCGCTTTTATTCTAACTGGTGGAATTAGATTTGCTTTGCATCCTTCTGAAGATCAGTTTGGGGCTAAATTATGAATTCCATTAAGGCAGGCAGAGGCCATGGCTGTCTCTTTACTGCTATAGGCCAAGCTCATAGTAAACCATCAGCACACAGATAACGAGTGAATGCACAGGCAGAAGTGAGAAACGAAGCATTTAATTTGAGTTGAGCTTTAAATAAGCTGAAAAGTGGTTCTGATCTTATCACCCCTTCACCATCACACACGAGTCAAATCCCATGTCCAGCTCATTAGTCTGTTAGGACATATGTCAGATTTTACATGGTCATTTTCCCCCAGAAGGGTCTTGGAGAGTGTCACCATCTGTTTTCTGAAATGTTAACTCTCCGTTCACAACAAATGAGCATCCGAAGCCTGATGTCACATTCAACTTTTCTAAGGGCCTTTTAGGCATTTTGCCAAATTTAGACAACAAGATTAGTTAACACATCTGTAGTCATCTAAAAAGGAGAACCACACTTTTCCCACTGAGGAACACTGCCTGCTTCACCTATGCTATTATGTATCTACTGCCTTTCCTCATCTGTGCTACCTGTGAACTCCTATTCATACTTTAAAACCCATTTCAATGTTCATCTCCTTTGTGAAGCTTTCTCTG